CTGTGATATCGGTCATCCCTTCGCTCACTCCATTCAGGTCTATGCTTAGACACCATACTACCAGAGGCCTTCCCTGAGGAGTCTGTGATGGAGCAACTTCCTCCCTCTGTCGGTCTTCACGCCTTCACCATGCTGGACTTTCTTCAAGGGCACGACCACCCCCAGAGTTCGTCTGTTTGTGGGCGCCTCCCTCACTAAAAGAAAGCACCACCGGGGCGTTCTTCACCCTGTATCCCCAGGGCAGAGCACATGTCGAGAATAATTGCTGGAAGAATACAGGAATGAATAAACAATGCTGTTCCTCCTAGACTGATTTCCCAGCAGCCTGGGCTCTGGGAACGTCCTTGAACTTGCCCTTCTGACCCACTTATATGCGTCTGTTGCTCTGGCTCCTAAACCAAGCAAGTCGTATCTGGAAGTATTTATTCCTTTTGACAGTAATGGGTTGAAGGAGTGGGAGGGTATCATTTTGTTTTACTGGGAGGCCTAGAATGGTTCGGATTGAACTTGTTTCATTAATGGGAAAACAAAAGGCCCCGCATCTAAACGCGCTTTCCCGGATCCGAAAAGCTCTCGGCCGCTTGGCCCCACGTCCAGGCTCAGGTGACCGGTCTGCGCACTGCGAGAGCAAGATGCGACGGCCGCTCAGCGACGACTAGGCAGAGGGAGGCGAGGCTCAGGTTCAGGAGAACGCAGGCGAGTTCAAGAGTGGAACCGCAAACCCCGTAGGGGACGCCCTCCCGCAGTTCTCCCCTCCCCCATGACCCTGGCCCCACACCCCGCCGCCCCCGTCCAGCCAGCAGGCCGACCTCACCTTTGCCCCTTTCTCCCACACTCCCCAGCCCCCAGCCCCGCCTCGCCTTCCCCTGCCGGCTCCCTTTAGTACCCTCTTTCCCTTGGCCCCTGGGTGTTCCGTATCCGCAGCCCCGAGACCTCGCCTTCCCAAACCCCGACCCAGCCGCCGCCCACCCTCAATGCTCCTCTTAAAAGCTTGGTCGCCCCCGACGTCCAGGTCTGGATACGGAGGCCAAACCGGGGTCTGCCTTGAGGGACCAGCAACCCACCCCACCCGGCGTCCCCTTCCCTTCCTTCCCCCTGGCCAAGCAGCCCCCGCCCCTCCCCGGGCTTCAGGAAGCGCTGGAGGAGGGGAGCGTGGTGGGTGAAGGGAAGGGCGCCAGTGTCCGAGAGCCGAGGTGGCCTGCAACCCGCTCCCCTGCCCTCTCTTTGCTCAGGCACAGCTGCACAACCCCTGGGACAGGGAAGGGTCTGCGGATACCCTTGGGCGCGTCCTCCGCCCCAGGGACGCTCAGCTTCCTCTTCCCACCCTCCCAATCCTGCTCGCGCTGGCTGCCCGACGGGGGTCGGGCCAGAGCCCCAAACCCTGGCAACCCCGCCTCCGGCCCCGAGATGCAAAGCTGAAACTCCGGAGGGACTCTGGACTGCAAAGTGCCGTGGGGGAGGAGGAAGGGAGCGGCGCCCGCCGGGAGCCAGGGGAGGGGTCTCTCGGATGGGCGTCTCAACTCCCCGCCCCCTCGGAGAAGCTGTTGCATCAGCTTCGAGATCCCCAGTTAAAGGAAGTGGTCTCCACCAGGAGGGGAAGGTGTCGGGCAGTAGAGCTGCCGCCAGGAGGCAGCACTTAACCAAAAATATCCCGTTCCCGGGTGTCGGAGAGGCTGGAGTGCCCAAAGCATCTTTCATCTGAAGTCTTAGTGGCAGTGTGGACCCAACAACAAAGGGTGTTGCTGAGCTGATTCAAGGAAAGGGATCTGGAAACGCTTCACCATGTGTTAAGGCTAAAAGATGACTTGTAAATAATACGATCGTTTGTACACCTTTTGGACAGTCCAACTGTGGCATTTTTAAAGCCAGCATTGCCACTCTGCAGAAATTCACCAAGAGCTACCCACCTTCAAGACCAGTCTGGTGTGGGGCGCCTGGGTGGTTCAATCAGTTAAGCGTCAGACTTTGGCTCCGGTCATGGCCTCACAGTTTGTGATTTCGAGCCCTGCATCAGGCTCTGTGACTTCTTTTTAAAAGACCACTCTGGTGAAATGACACACAGCTGAGAGATTTCCCAGCTGCAAGAAAAAAGTAGCCCAAGGTCATAATTTACCCATCTTGAAGCTGGATGATTGAACACAAAATTTAGCCCGAATTGATTTAGCAGCCATGGGGAAAGAAAAGGAATGTGTTACAATAAATTGTGTGTTAAGGAAATAATATGCAAAGCAACGTATTGTGTAGGGGTGGCCTTTAGTTGCCACATTTCTTGCATGGGTTGACAGTGATTGTTGTTGAGTGGTCCTAAAGAGGAAGATAATGAAGGAAGGTAAAATAGATACTTCCCAAATAGTTTGCTCTTCAAACTTCAGTTTGGTCATAAGCGTGTAAAAAGGAGAAAGAGTTACTAAATGAAATGGAATTGGTCACCCTGAGTCAGTTTCACTGATATTTTCTCCAACATCATCATTATTCATCTCGATGATAAAAAGCACCTAGCTTCCCAGGGGCACCTGGCTGGCTTAGTCAGTGACTCTTGATCTCGGGGTCCTGAGTTTGAGTCCCATGTTGGGCATAGAGATTACTTAATTCAAAAAAAAAATTGGGGGTACCTGGGTGTCTCAGTCAGTTAAATGTCCGACTTTGGCTCAGGTCATAATCTCGTGGGGTTCATGGGTTAGAGCCCCACATAGGACTCCGTGCTGACAACTCAGAGCCTGCTTGGGATTCTTTCTCTCCTTCTCTCTCTACCCTTCCCTTGCTCAAGCTCACAAACTCTCTCAAAATAAATAATCTAAAAAAAATTTTTTAGTTTAATAAAAATAAAAAATGGGGCGCCTGGGTGGCGCAGTCGGTTAAGCGTCCGGCTTCAGCCAGGTCACAATCTCGCGGTCCATGAGTTCGAGCCCCGCGTCAGGCTCTGGGCTGATGGCTCGGAGCCTGGAGCCTGTTTCCAATTCTGTGTCTCCCTCTCTCTCTCTGCCCCTCCCCCGTTCATGCTCTGTTTCTCTCTGTCCCAAAAATAAATAAAAACGTTGAAAAAAAAAATAAAAATAAAAAATAAATAAAAAATAAAAAGCATGTGGGGCACCTGGGTGGCTCAGTTGGTTAAGCATCGGACTTCTTCAGGTCATGATCTTGCAGTTCCTGGGTTCTAGCCTCACGACGGGCTCTGTGCTGACAGCTCAGAGCCTAGAGCCTGCTTCGGATTCTGCATCTCCTTCTCTCTCTGTCCCTCCCCCACTTGCACTGTGTGTGCATGTCTCTCTCTCTCTCTCAAAAGTAAATAAACATTAAAAAAATTTTTTTAATAAATAAAATTAAAAGCACCTAATTTCTTAGAATAGTGTATTTGTACAAAAGCTACTGTGTACGGAACACACAGAAGGATATTTGAATAAACATACTGGACCAAAACATGAGTGGGTGGCAAAATATTAAAAACAAAATACAGGCTGTATTCCCTGAGAAGCAAGGAGTTTAAGAGAGGAAAGACATGAAGCTCAGATTCCTGATGCTTCCCATTGCTCTGAATTCCAGCCTTTGCCAGATGAAGTCCAGAGGTTGAAGAACATCTAGTTTGGAATGACAAAGCCACTTTCCTGTGGTTCATGAGTCTAATGAAGTCATTAAGGAGAGCTGTCCAATTGCCAGACCCTTTTTTCTCCTGCCACAGTGTTCTATGAGGTCCCTGAGAAGGCTGCTGATGTTAGCTGTCAGCACTAATGTTCTTTCTCTCTCTCTCTCTCAAAATCCTAAACCATATTTCCTGCTATTTACAACCCACGGATTGTCCACAGCATACTAACCACGTCAAAAGCTGAACTCGTCTTCCTTCCAAAGACATTTCCCCTCCCACATTTCTCAGTTTTCCCAATTAAACTTCCCATCCTGTCCCCCAAAGTTCTCCAGCTCTGGCTCCTTGACTCCCATAGATATTCAAGTATTGCACGTGTTCATTTCTGCACACAGAATTTATATTGTTCACATTATTTGTTCACCTTCATGTGTGTGCCCTTTTTTATAATTTTGCAAATGCAGAGCACCTGGCTGGCTCAGTCAGTAGAGTGTGTGACTCTTAATGTCAGGGTTGTGAATTTGAGCCCCACGTTGGGGTAGAGATTACTTTAAAATAAAATCTTTAAGGGCGTCTGGGTGGCTCAGTCGGCTAAGCATCTGACTTCAGCTCAGGTCCTGATCTCGAGGGTTTTTTTCTGGAGGGGGGGGGGGTTGTTGTTTTGTTGGGGGTTTCTTTGTTTTTGTTTTATTTCTAGGTTCTTGACTTTAAGCCCCGCAATCAGCTGCTCACTGAGGTCAGTGCAGAGCCTGCTTTGGATCCTCTGTTCCCCTGTTTTCTCTGCCCACGCCCCACTCAATACGTGTTCTACCTCTTTCTCAAAAATAAATAAACATTTGTAAATAAATAAATAAAATCTTTAAAATAATAATAATAATAACAATAATAATAATAATTTTGCAAACCGATGGTGTCCCCCAAGTGTGTGAGCTACTGAAAGAGAGGAATATTGCTGGTTCAACTATTTTGTATAGTGATGGTGGTAGCCAGCTTGTCATCTTTCCTGTCAATCTTGACTGTTGACACGAAGGTTGTTTTTCCAGCCCCTGGCTTCTACTATTTGATTTGCCAACTGGGAACTATGTAATGGGATTCCAGTGCTGTCTACCTCAGCTGTCTATCTCAGAAACAGCCAAAGGTATACGGAGCCAGGCTTGGGAAAGTAGCATTCAGTCACTATTGCAACTGTCAAACTATAAATCCACAGCCACGTTTTGATTCCATTTCCTGATCTCTGAAAACTACAAGCAATCTGTATGATTGCTTCCTGGACTGTCTTATCTACTTTACAGATGTATTATGAAAATCATGTGAAATCATTTATATACAAGTGTTTTGATAGGTGAAAATGAAGTGTATGAATGCAAGATGGTAATAGTTCCTTACTGTCTTATTGCCCTTGCCTAGTATTTTGGGATCCATTTGTTGGCTTCTAGTCAAGGTTCTTTTGTTCCCATCCTTTTTTTGGTTCAGCCCTAGCTATACCACTCTTATTGTTATTGAAACAGCTGCTTTTACTTCTTAAACCAGGATCCACCCTTCCCCTCTTTCAAAGCACAGCTCAGAGCCACCTCCTGTGGAAAAACTTCCCAGTCTTGCAGAAGGAAATGATAAACTTCCAGATAGGCCATTGCACCACTCCCTCAGTTTCCCCCAGTCAGCACGCATTAAGTGTCTAGCCTAGCACACGGTAATGGGCACTTTTGTAGGAGCTTCATCGTTTATAAAGCATCCGTACTTACTTCAGTGTTTTAAGATGTGATATATTAAGGGTTTTTTTTTTTATTTTTTTAATGTTTATTTATTTTTGAGAGAGAGACAGAGAGAGAGAGAGAGACAGAGCAAGAGCAGGGGAGGGGCAGAGAGAGAGAGAGGGAGACACAGAATCCAAAGCAGGCTCCAGGCTCTGAGCTGTCAGCCCAGAGCCAACGTGGGGCTCGAACTCATGAACCATGAGATCATGACTTGAGTCAAGTTGGACACTTAAGTTGTTTTTTTTTTTAAGGTTATTTAATTTTGGGAGGGGGGGAGGGGGAGGGAGAGAGGGAATCCCAAGCAGGCTCTACACCATCAGCATGGAGTCCAACTCAGGGCTCATACTCAGGAACCATGAGATCATGAGCTGAGCCAAAACCAAGAGTCACACGCTCAACCAACTGAACCACCCAGGTGCCCCTAAGCTTTTTATGAAAAAATTAAGATAAATGAATTCCCCAAGACAAATAAATTATTCAAAAGAGGGAAGGAGCCACAGATCTGTGTTTTCTATGTACCAATACAGTAGTCCCACCTGATCCACAGGGGATACGTTCCAAGAACCCCAGTGGATACTTATAACCATGGTAGTACCAAACCCTGTATATATTATGGGTTTTTTTTCCCATATAGACATACGTATGATAAAGTTTAATTTAAAATCAGGCACAGTAAGAGATTAATAACAATAAAAATCATAACAATATATTGTAATAAAAGTTATGTGAATGTGATCTCTCTCAAAATGTCTTATTGTACCATATTCATCTTTCTTTTGTAGGTGAGAAGATAAAGTGAGGTGAAATATGGGCACTGTAACTTAGCGTTAGGCTACTATTGACCTCACAATTTGTCAGGAGTATCTGCTTCTATAGGGCAATTAAATGTGGATAACTGAAACTGCAGAAACTGAAACCATGGTTAAGGGGGTACTTCTGTACCTGCCTTGTTGCTGTAAGGATTATATTAGACAATATGTGGTGGTAGACCTTGTAAAACTGAAATCAGATCTTAGCTCCAAGACCTATTCCCCAAGAAAGCCTTCAGCTTTCTCCAGATCAACTTCCCATTATAGCTACAAATGGGTACTTGCCAACACTCATCTTGGAGGACTTCTGACTTCTGCTGCCTTCATTTTGACCTCAAACTTTTTTTTTTTAATTGTTTAATGTTTATTCGTTTTTGAGAGGGAGAGAGAGCAGAAGCAGGAAAGGAGCAGAGAAGGAAACACAAAATTCAAAGCAGGCTCCAGGCTCTGAGCTGTCAGCACAGAGCCCAATGTAGACCTCAAATCCACGAGCTGGGAGATCATGACCTAAACTGAAGTCGGATGCTTAACCGACTGAGCCACCCAGGCGCCCCTTTGGTTGGGTTCTTTCCAGCCAGTCTCTTGGCTCAGGTGGAAGACCCTGAGGGCATAGCAACCTCTGAGGAGAATGAAACAACCCAAGCAATAAGCACTGTCCCGAGACACAAAACACCACCCATGATTGACTCTAAGCAAAACGCTGATAGATTTGACCTTCACTGCCCCCCTGCAGGTACTCGCCCACCTTTGCCCCTCATTTTCCTTGTATAAACCTGGAAGTATTTTCAGCGCTTTTAGACACTTGATCTCTGTCTTCCTGGTGTTGGTCTCACTGAACTAAATCCCTTTCTGGTTTCACCACTGTCTGTCTGCCTTTGGATTTTTGTCAGTGGCAAGTGGCCAGAACCTGATCTGTTTGGGATCCCCGGAACCAGGTGCTCTTGCATCCCTGTGCACCTGCTAGAATCTCAACGGTACTGTTACAGTAATGTGGGTGATCATCATTGTCTTCTCTCGCTAGACTGGGGACGCTATCAGAATAGTGATGACGTCTGTTTTGCAGAATCCCCAGCACTTAGTACAATGCTTGCCACATAAGCTCTTCAGTTGTGTTGAATAAATAAGGACGGAGACCCAAATTTTCCGATTCATTCTGGATTTGACACCTAGGCTGAGGAAAAACATGTTACAGTGATGCAGAAGACAGAATAAGGGAACTCCTCTAAGATAATGGCATAAATTTCAAAGGACTAGACACCGCTGCGCAGAGATCGCTGGAGCAGCTCAGAACGATTCAGTCTAGGACACGACTTCCACTGAGGATGTAACCAGTACTGACGATTCATACGCAGACCAACCACTGTCGCCTAAATACTAGGGCCGCAGTTTTGTCCCTCTCTTCCGTACAATGGCCCAAGATGGCGGGGCCCGTGATTGAGAACCAGATTCAAGATGGCGGCTTCCGACTTCCCATGCGGCGTAGCGCGTGACACCGGGGCCACGCCCACTTCCGGCTCCGCGACTTCAGCATGGCTGCTTTAGGTACCCTGCTTTTGAGTAAGTGGGTGTGGAGTCGGTGGGCTCAAGGGCCCGCGGGGGCAGGGCTAGGACCCCTGAGTTGAGTGCACGGCCTCTCTCCCAACTCTGCCCTGTTCTCCCAGCAGGTGTCCGGAAGCTGCACAGTAGCGTGGCGGCTCGGGCGGGCAGTCAGTGGCGACTCCAGTGAGTTACTGGTTTAAGGGGGTCCTGGGGTGCCAGAAGGTGGGCTGAATCCTCACCGGAATGTTTTTCTCCACCCAGGCAGGGCCTGGCTGCTAACCCCTCTGGCTACGGGCCCCTTACGGAGCTCCCAGACTGGTCTTACGCGGGTGAGCGCTGATCTGACAGTTAACTGTCCCTAAGAGAGTTTCGCCGAGATGGAACGTCCCTGGACTGAGGGTGGGAGGGAGAAGGGGGTTAAGGCGGGGATGTGTGTGAGTGAACATAGTATTGAACTTTATATTTGGAGTTGGGGAGAAGCAGCCTGGTTACTTTGTATTTTAAATTATGCCTATAGAAAGTGCAGCTAGACAGGATCTTGTGGGGTGAGAAGATAATTCTAACTTGGGGCGCCCCGGGGGAGGGAGTGACAAGATCTTTACGTTTCTCAGGGGCGACGATTTTTAAAAAGGTAGAAAGACCCACCATTCTACCTGGTGAGTACATTGTTGAGAATTTGGTACCAGATGCAGGGAGAACTCTTTGAAAGGCTGCCTAAATGAACATCTCAGAAGAGAGGGGTAGAAGGGTGAGGACTGAGGATGGCGGGCTCCCTTCAGAAAAATCTCTTCCCTTGAAAAAAAAAGGAAGGAAGGAAGGAAAAGGAAAGGAAGAAGGAAAAAACAGATATTAGACCTAGAAGGGAGGGATGTTAGAAAAGTTGAAGCCATTCCCCATTCCCTATATGGGACTCCAGTTACAGGTGGGAAAACTGAGGCCTCAGAGTTCCCGTGATCAAACAGCTAGGTAATAGCAAAGCTAGGACTAGAACTGAGCGGGAGCCAGGCACCGTTCAACAGCACAGAGACCTGAATACTAATACCCTATTGGATTCTATAGAAGTGTGATCCTGAAGAGGATGGTGAAGGTTTTTCTGTTCGTTATTTACTGTAGGAAGCCTAGCACCTCCCAGAAGTAGTATGGAATATTGGAAAGACTCTGGAATTGAGTCTTAATTCAGGTTTCTTTACTTGCTAACTTGTAGTCTTGGATTACTTAATTGTATCTCTCAGTTTCCACAAAACTTTTGGGCAGACTTTTCACTGTTTGCTTCTTACTCTGTAGAAAGTAAGTGTCCTTTTTCTTCAGCTCCATTATTAACTACTTCAGGTCAGATATTGCATCTTTTCACCAAGTCAGCAGATATTTATAGAATTTTGATTATGTGGTTGTGTGCCTACCCTGCACTACAGTGAAATCTAGGGATGCAATCCATGAAAGTCTGGCTGGGAAAACGGCATGAGATCTTTAAAAATTAATAATAGTTCAGGGGCGCCTGGGTGGCGCAGTCGGTTAAGCGTCCGACTTCAGCTCAGGTCACGATCTCGCGGTCCGGGAGTTCGAGCCCCGCGTCGGGCTCTGGGCTGATGGCTCAGAGCCTGGAGCCTGTTTCCGATTCTGTGTCTCCCTCTCTCTCTGCCCCTCGCCCGTTCATGCTCTGTCTCTCTCTGTCCCAAAAATAAATAAAAAACGTTGGAAAAAAAAATTAAAAAAAAAAATTAATAATAGTTCAGTGCTCTACCCCTTTCCAAGAGGATCTGAAGTGCCACATAAGGCCAAAACAAAACACAACAACAACAAACAAACAAAAAAAGCAATAGTACAATAAATGTCCCAAGGCAAATAGATGAATAATAAATAACCAATATGCACTTCTTTCAGAAAGAGATTTGACAGAGTTGAAAAGGTTAGAGAATGGTTTCTGGGACAGATAGGGCTTGGGCGGGGGGGGGGGGAGCTAAAGATGAGAACTGGGCTGAAAGGAAAGGAAAAGAAGGTATTTCATTATGGAGTGAGATGGGATTCAGCAAAGATTCATGGAGAGTGGAACGGTGATCAGATTGCTTGAGTGGGGGGTTTCTAAAGCTAAAATGAGATTCAGCACTTCAAAGGACCTTGAATTCCAGGACAATGAGGGGTAAGTGAAATCGAGTAGGAGTGTGCCTCAGAGCTTATTCTTGGCATATCTTACCCTTGACACTGAGGGATGGGTTTTGGAGAACTAAGCCATCACAGGTGTGAAAGTGGAAGAAAGGAACTAGAGACTGGTTCTTCCCTTGTCCCTGTCACAGTGCCTTCACAAGTGCTGTCAGCCATCTCTAATACTTGTCTTTTTTTCTGCAGATGGCCGCCCTGCACCTCCAATGAAAGGCCAGCTTCGAAGAAAAGCCCAAAGGGAGAAGTTTGCAGTGAGTGGCTAGAGCCCAAGCCAGGGCAACCTGTGTGTACTTGGAGGGAAAAAACTTTACATTTTAATTTGTCTTGAACTGTACTGACACATAAGCTAACTCGTACCCCCATACCGAGGTTTTAACAGCTCAAGGTTTTTACAGTGCTTTGAGGAGGGGGGAATGGAGTGAGCACTCCGAGGGTGGAAACCAGTGGTAGACCTTCTGCTACACATTCTCCTTCCTCCTACTTCCCAACCCAGGACCTGGTCCCCCTCCCCACTCAACAGTGTCATTTTCCAGCTGAAACTTTTGCCTTTGATCTGTGAGTGAAAGGATATATGTGCAGAGCCCAAGCCCCAGATGTTATCCACCCTGTTTTCCTGTCTGTTTCAGAGACGAGTTGTACTGCTGTCACAGGAAATGGATGCTGGCTTACAGGCATGGCAGCTCAGGCAGCAGAAGTTGCAGGAAGAAGGGAAACAGAAAAACGCTCTTAAACCCAAAGGGGCTCTATTGCAGAACCCACTACCAAGTCAATAAAAAGCAATACCTGTCTCCCTTTCCCAGCCTCTCTCTGGCTTTCTTCTCTATCACCTGTATGCCTCATCCTGGTCAGAAGAGAGCCTTCACGTTCCCCATCTGTCTTCCCGGCACAAGAGTTTGGACACCAGAAAGAACAGCCTGTAAGATCACTGCCTGGAAGAGTTGGCTTAGTGCCCTCATCACTGGCTCCGTTCCAATTCAGTGGAACCTCGCTCTGGGATGCTTCCCTCCTTCACGAGCCATAGGACTGGCCCAACTATGAACAGTAGCTGCTCTGCGAACTGCTACGAAAAAGGGGCAGCAGTTTTCCTGGTGTTAGCTAGGCACTCAAGCCTTTAACAGCCCATACACAGCTCAGGCTGTGTGCAGTTATTCATTTAATAAATGTTTTGATAAAAAAGGCTTTCCGGCTGAGGTCCATTTCTTGGCAAGCAACTGGTGTCAGTTTTCCTAAGCTTCAGATACATGGCCCAAGAGGATACCCCCACTGGGAACACTGATATGGGAAGAACCAGACTTGGGCGTCGCATGTTCTGCTAAAGAGTTGGATTCTGAGGTTTCTTTGGTTCTGGCAAAATTCCAGAGGTTGGTTAGAAAGAGGCCTGTACCTCCCAACTGCACTTTGTGTAGGGGGAGCCCTGGAGGTAGGTGCTCAGCCCCCAAACAGTCAACCATGGCATAGGTATCTAATACCCATCATATATCTCCCACAAACCTGTTAGCTGTCCGGGACCCAGGGAAAGCTTTCATTTAATGGATCACGGATTCTGGGGGAAAAGGACCTTTGCTCCAGTTACAATACAGAGCACTGGGCTTTTCTTCTGTTATCCTGCCACAAACTTGTGATAGTTCCTGGATCTCTAGAATTTCTGGAGCTTCCTACCTGACCTAATTTCTGTCCAGCCTCCTTTATTCCTTGCTTTCTTTCCCTCCCTTCTTCCCCCCACAACCTCCTTCCTCTCTCGCTGACCAATGCAATTCTGGGATCTTAGATTTCGCTGATGATCGAGTTTTCTGTCTCCCACACTTTTCCTGCTTCTGTTGTGCTGCTTTTCCAGATCTAACTCAACCTCTTATCTGTCTCTCTCCCCCACTATCCACTTCAGCGTGCCCTTCCCTTCTCCTGCATCCCTCCACATTTTGTTATCAGTTTAGTCAGTCCCTGAAGACTTTAGTCTTCAGGGAACTGCCTTTTTCCAGTGTAGAGGGGGAGCTAAACCCCCAAAGTCCTAATTCCCAATCTCTCTGGTCTAACAGTTTCCCTAAATTTGATTTGCCTTTCCCCACATTCCATGGCCTTGTACCTCTTTCCTCCCCAGCCTGCTCTAATTTAAGGAGCAGCCAGATTGCAAATGATGATAATTAAGGGAGTGCATTTGTCTTTCCATAAGAACCCCCAGACCCAATGTGGTTGTGCAATTTGTTGGTGGGTGGGTGGATTGTATTACCGTTGCATGTTTGCAGCAGGAGAGGGATGGAGGTGGTTGTCAAGATCCAGGGGCAAAAGTTTCAATTTGGTTGAGCCACAGGTCTCAGCGGACAAACCCCCAACCCAGGTGTCCTGGACATGGAAGACCTTCACCACCGTCATCCTAGACTCTGAACTCGTTTGCGCCAACCACTGGGCTTCCCAGTACTTCCCACTCTGAGGTGAGACAAATGCTGAATACCAGAGGACTCAAGCCACCCAAAATATGCTTAGGGGGAGAAAGTCTCCCACATCCCGTCCGCTGGGTCCCCCCCCCCCCCCCAGACCCCCGTCCTTAGCTGTGGCCTCAACCCCTGCAGATGGCAGCCTCCACCACAGAAAGGCAACTTAGGGTTTTTTTTTTTTTTTTTTTTTTTTTTTTTTTTTACCCGGCTCTTGGCTGTAATTGGATTCAGGCTGAAACAACCACGTCCGCACCGGGAAAGGAGGGCATTGGGGCGGGGGCGGAGAGGCTGTGGGAGAAGGGAGGGACCAGAGGAGAGAGTGAGAGAGGGCTCGCGGATCCAGTTCGCAGACTAAGCAGAAGAAAGATCAAAAAACAGAAAAGAGGGGACGAGCCAACAGGCGCTTTCAAGAGCAATCCCCTCATCTCCAAGCGGACAACGGTCTAGGAATCCAAACTCAGCGCCCACCGAAGACAAAGGCGCCCCAAGGGAGTGGCGGCACGACCCCAGAGCTTGGGCCCCACCGCGGAGCCCGCACGGCTGGCGGCCGGGACAGTCGCGGACCATGTCTCCTGCCCCACGGCCCGCCGGCGGTCTGCTACTCCCCCTGCTCACGCTCGCCACCGCGCTCGCCTCCCTCAGCTCGGCCCAAAGCAGCTTCAGCCCCGAAGTAAGTGAGCTCCTCCAGTCCTGCCGGGAGTCGCGCCCGCCGGGGAGGCGAGCCGGGGGTCTCCCAGGTCTCCCCCGCTTGGAGAGCAGGGCGCCGGAGGTCTCTGGCCCTCCGGCCCGCAGGAACCCCCTCCCTTCCTTTCCCTGCTCATCTCCAAACTTCCAAGTCGATCCAACTTCTGCTTCCCCCCAACCAACCCCCGACCCGCCGCCAACTTTCTTCCCCAGTCCTTTCCTGGGAAGAGCTTTACAGCGGGGCCCACCCCAACCCTCCCGGTTCTGCCGGGCTGTGAGTTCAGCTCCGGAACCAGGAGGGAGCCTGGTAAATACTTGAACTCGGCTCAGACCCAGCGCTGCCCTGGTTCCTTGTCATGTGCGCGAGATCGTTGTTTCTTCAACTTTCCAACCCTCCAGCGCTCTCCCGCCCGCGCCCGCCGGCGCTGGGGCTGCCAGGGAGGCTCGGGTGGACGGCGCCGCGGCTCCGGGCCCCCCACGCTGAGCGCCTCCCGGGCGGTCCCGGCCCTCCGTGGATGCAGGCGCCGCCAGGTGGGGTCGGGGCTGGACGGCCTGGCGGCCCCGGCCCCCGACCCACCCCGCCTCCCCGAGCGGACCCCTCTGTGTCCCCGGCCCGGAGCCCTGGCGTCGAGGGTCGCGGAGCTGGCGCCCTGGCCGCGTTTCCGTACACACAAAGCTCTCCTTGTGAGCCAGGGGCTCGGCCGGCAGAGCAGCCGCCTCCTGCCTCTACCCCCACTCACACCACCCGCCTCCAGCGACGCCTTTGGGCTCTTTTTGTTGCTTTTGTTAATTGCTTTTCTGTGTTAATTGCAGGGAGACTGAGGGCAACGCACCGGGGAGTAGGGTGAGAGGGCCAGGCCCAGGGCACCCCGCAGGGTCTCTACCGCCTCCGGCGACCCCCCCCCCCAACTCTTTCCCAGACGCTGGCCCACCGGCCCGGGAGGAAGCCGCGTGGGAGTTGTCTGGGGAGGTTTTTCCTCTTTCTTTCTCTCTCTCTCTCTCTCTCTCTTATTTTGGGGTGAAGGTGGGAGACGAATTTGATCAGCTTCTTATTTTGGGCCATCCCAACCCACTCAGCCCGGCAGGGCCTGGGTGCGGTCGGGAGGGGCCGGGAAGGGCCCCAGAAGGGGGAGGGGATCTGGACTTGGCTTCCTCCCTCCTGGTCCTGGCCCTGGACCCACCCCCGGAGGAAACATCTCCAGAAAGAACACACTCTCTCTGTCCCGAAGGGATCCGAGGCTAAAAAGAAAAGCGTGGCCCTGGGGAGGGGGTGGCCAAGGAGAGTGCGAATCTGCTGTGGGGCCCAGCCTGACACGGTCCTGCTGGAGGAGGCATCCTCTCTCCAGGCCTGGAGTCTTCATCGGAGGTCTGCAAGGAGAGCCCCTAACAAAAGGAGTCTGGACATCTAGGGGCTGTCCCCTGCCAACTTTGCCTGCCCTGCCTTCCCTCCCCTGCCCCACTAGGCCCCCCTAGGGGAGGGGCGGCAGCCCTGGCTCTGTTTTAAGTGGGTCATGGGCAGTCCCAGTGCCAGAACCACCATTTGCTTCTGGGCCACAGAGGGAGGAACAGGCCCAGAGGCTCTGATCCAGGGCCTGCTGGAGAGCCAGAGTTCCCCTCACCCACCCACCCACCTACCCACCTTCTGCAGGACTCCTAGGCCAGAGGTGGGAGGGGTTCTGTTGAGTTTTCCCCTAGGGGAATACTCAGACCACTCAGTTTTCAAGACAAAGCCAGCCAACTGAGTTTTTTGACCTAACATAGTTGCTCCCTCTCCAGGCCAATCTAGAGGGTGAGCTCGGGTGGCCAGGCCTCAGCCAGCCGGGTCCCTCCCACCAGGCCTCCAGAGTCCTGCACCAGCTCCAGGACAGCCCTCTCCTCCTCGTGGCCTGTCTGGCACTTGGCCCTCCCCCCACCCAGCCGCAGACACAAGAGTCCTCTCTTCTGTGGTTCCAGCCTCACCTCCTAGTCTTCTCTGTGGTTCTTGCTTTGCTCAGAGCCTAGGCCTGGGAGGAGAGGGATGGGGGCACTTCCTTTCCAGGCTTTGTGGCTCTCTTTGACTCCAGGGAAGTCCCTTTCTTGCCTAAATCTCCATTTTTCTCTCTTGCGCATGGTGGGGGTCGGGGGGGGGGGGTACTTTGTGGGTGTGAATATTTAGACCTGCTTACTTTCTTGAAAGACTCACGGGGGAGAGGGATTGATCCCACCGCTCCTAGATGTGGATTCTCTCCACCTCTCTGCCACCCTCTATTCTGTCATTGTGCCCTAGCAGAAATCCCCTCAGCTTTGCTCCCTGAGGGTTGAGGGGGCCTGACTTCAGTCCTCCTGACTGCCAGCTCCAGGAGTAGGCCACTCCCATGCTTCTCCAAAGCTGAAGTAGTGGCTCCCCCACCCGGGGTCATAAGCCTGGGGTGTGTGTACCCTACAGGTGAGGCCAAGGGCAAAGGGAGTTTCCTGCATACTTGGGCACAGGCCATTGCAACCTCCCACGGGCACTAGCTGTGGCATCAGCCAGCGCAGGTCAGGGCAAGCAAGCCTACAGCTTGTGGGGAGAGTAGCCGGGTTCTGGAGCACCCTGCTCTGCTCTCCTGTGGTAGAGCAGAGGTTAAACTTTGCTCCCTCCTCTACCCCTGAGGAGGGGCTCTCAGAGCCGGGTGGTGCTAAGGTTATTCAGGCCAGGCCTGTTGGCTGGGGAAAGGCTGGGTTGTTTACATCTTGGGCCCTAACTCCCATCAGCCTTGGGGGATCACTTCCCAGAACCCTGTTGCAATTCTTGCCCCTGCGGGCACATGTCTCCAGTCAGCTGCTCCTGAATCACCCCCAGCCCCAATGCAGGAGCACTGCTCCACTTCCCGGGCCGGGCCCAGAGGTGAAGGGCCACATGAAGATCCATCCTGACAACCTGGGATAAGAGAGGTGGTGCCCAACAGCATCCTCCACCCCTCTGCACTCCCAGATTCCATCCCAGGCAACGTGCAGGCCCCCTCTGGACTCCTTAAGAAGGCAAAGCTGGAACAGGGACCAGGGTAGTATCTCCCCTAGAGAATCCCAGCATTTTCATATTCCATATACACCTTGGCTCATTTTACTTTTCAGGCTTTAGAAAAATACTCCATTGTTCTTACAGTAAAGGCTGACTCCCCCCCCCAGTCAGCAGGGCTTTGTAGTTTGCATACCTTTCAGTCAAACACCAAAAACCTAACTTTATTTTAAGGCAGCATGCCAGCTTTTATATTATGAACAATTCACAACATACCTTAAGTAAAATACAGTCACCGAGTCTCTACCACCTCCCCCATCTCCCACTGCCCGTACTGAGAACCTTAAATAAGGGCCTTTAGGTCCCATGCCCTAGGTCAGATGCTCGGATGGGAACAGTGGCAGGATCCTGGCTCAGTGGCTGGATCACACCCCCGACACCTCCAAACGTCCCGGCTTCCCCCTCTCAGCAGCCAGCCTCAGCCCTAGCTCCTTTTCTGCTCACCTTTCCAAAAAGATCTCAGCTGTGAGGGTCCTGGAAGCATGGCATCCCTGTCCCAAGAGGGTCTCATGCCAGGACCAAAATAGAGCCCCCTCAGCCTCCCCACCTCCACCCATCAGGGGCACAACCCATTCTCAGGTAGGACATGCTATATTTACAAGAACACTGACACAGAGGAGGAAAGTGCTGGAGGAATCTCAGCTCTGAGAAGACGAGCCATCTGGGTTCCCATTCTCAAGAGAGTTCACAGCCAAAGTCCAGAGCTGTGGCTCCGTACCCTGTTTGAGCCCACAGCCCCAAGAAGGCAAGTCCCACTGGGGCCTGGGCCAGAGTTCAGGTCCAGCCTGGGAATTCCTCCAGCCCCACTGCCAGAGCCAGGCTGGGAGCTCGTCGCCCTTTCCTCCTAAGCCAAGGGTGCGTGCCAGACACCGTGAGGGGGTAGAGTTTCCCCTTGGGCCAAGTGGGGATGCTCTAAGCCACGTTTCTTTCCCTACAGGCCTGGCTGCAGCAGTATGGCTACCTGCCCCCGGGGGATCTGCGAACGCACACGCAGCGCTCACCCCAGTCCCTCTCAGCTGCTATCGCTGCCATGCAGAGGTTCTACGGTCTGCGAGTGACGGGCAAGGCTGATGCCGACACCATGAAGTAAGTGCTAGGCCCTGGCAGGAATTCTGCCCAGCACCCACAGAGCACAGAGAGGTTGCTACCTGACTCCTGCCCCCTACCTCAACCCCGCACGCTGACTCTGAGTTACGTATGCCTACATGTGCTCCTTCTCTCCCCTGGTCTCTGGCCCGTGCATCCCTTCTCCTCCCCCATGCCCTACAGTCTCCCCCCACATCCCCACCTGACCCTGCCTCCGCCCACCCTACACTCCCACTTTTTTTTTTTTTTTAGACTCTCTCTTATCCACCCTGACCTCATAACCTTGGCCCTTTCCCACACTGACCCTGAGGCCAGGCACTCCCCCACTCTGAAGACCTTTCTCTTTCATACACTATCCTGACTGCAATCTCACACCCCAGGGCCATGAGGCGCCCCCGCTGTGGTGTCCCCGATAAGTTTGGAGCTGAGATCAAGGCCAATGTTCGAAGGAAACGCTATGCCATCCAGGGCCTCAAATGGCAGCATAATGAGATCACTTTTTGGTGAGTCCAACAGGCAAGTTGCCTTTCTCCCATCAGGGTTGCCCTTCCTGTCAACTGTACTTACAGACTGAGGACTCCTGTCCTACTCACCTCTGTTCCTGTGAAGCGTCCTCGGGAGTGGGGAGGAAAGGGGCTTTAATCCTGGAGAAAGGTGCAGCCTGGGGGGCGGGGGGTACTTCCCAGGGCCAGAAAACCAAAGCCTGTGGGTCCCTTGAGCCCTCAGTTCTTGGGGCTGAGGCATCGTGAGGCAGCAGGAAGAGCCAGGTCAGCAGAGGTGGCTGGGCGGTTCACGCAAACCTGGGAAAGTGCAAGGAGGGAGAATTTTATACGTTGTTATCCTAACACACTCCCATCCTCTCCCCGTGCGGCTGGACCTCAGCATCCAGAATTACACCCCCAAGGTGGGAGAGCATGCCACATTCGAGGCCATTCGCAAGGCATTCCGCGTGTGGGAGAGTGCCACACCACTTCGTTTTCGAGAGGTACCCTATGCCTATATCCGAGAGGGCCATGAGAAGCAGGCCGACATCATGATCTTCTTCGCTGAGGGCTTCCATGGTGACAGCACACCTTTCGATGGCGAGGGTGGCTTCCTGGCACATGCCTATTTCCCAGGCCCCAACATTGGAGGGGACACCCACTTTGACTCTGCCGAGCCCTGGACTGTCAGGAATGAGGATCTGAATGGTGAGCGAGGTAGCCCTGGGACTCATTTATTCTGGGGAGAGTCAGTGATCGTTTTCATGGGGGGTCTCCCGCCTCCTCCCAAAACCTCAAACCCCACAGTCTCTGGGCTACAAACATCTCCTAGTCTGACTTCCAGTGAAAGCAGGGATCTTATTTTGAGCTATTTACATCTGGTCCCTTCTCTCACCCAATCATTGACTTCCCAGTCAAAGACTTCCCACTTTTCTAGGCAAATGGCACCTCCAACTCCTGGGAGAAACTGGGGCCCAGATAGGACCTCAGCTCCCCTTAATACACATCTTCCTGGTATTGGTGTCTGGCCCCAGAGCACTCTCTCACCTCCAACCAGAACAGATCGCTGACTGGCTTGGTGGCTTTTTGGGTGGGAAACATAACAGGCCCAGCCTCGGGTATGAAAATGAAGCCTCTGGTGGGAAAGCAGAGAGTCTGAGGGAAGGGGCCCAGGCTGCCCTCATAATCATCCCCATCCCTCCAGGGAATGACATCTTTCTGGTGGCTGTGCACGAACTGGGCCACGCCCTGGGCCTTGAACATTCCAACGATCCCTCGGCCATCATGGCACCCTTTTACCAGTGGATGGACACAGAGAACTTCGTGCTGCCCGATGACGACCGCCGGGGCATCCAGCAACTGTATGGTGAGTAATGTATGCCTACATGTGCTCCTTCTCCCTCCTGGTCTCTCTGGCCCGTGCACCCTTTCTCCTTCCCATGTCCTACAGTCTTCTCCCGTCCCCGCCAGGCCCTGCCTCCACCCACCCTACACTCCCACTTGTTTTTACGTTATTTTTTCTGTATATTTTTTAAATTGTTTTCAGTGTCTATTTAGTTTTGAGAAAGAGAGACAGAGCATGAGCGGGGGAGGGACAGAGAGAGAGAGAGAGACACAGAATCTGAAGCAGGCTCCAGGCTCCAAGCTGTCAGCACAAAGCCTGACACGGGGCTCAAACTCACAAACCACGAGATCATGACCTGAGCGAAGTCAGCTGCTTAACCGACTGAGCCACCCAGGCACCCCTATTTCTTCTATATATTTTATTCCTCTCTCACCTTTGATCCCACCTTTTCTGTCCTGCCCCAGCTGATTGCTTCAGCCTCCTCTAAAGGTCCACCCACATCTTTGCAAGGGTATCGTCTGCCCATATATCTGTTCTTTCCTCTCCCCTGTCACAAAGTCTAAAGTGCCTTTCATGTTCTCTACACCAGGAAGTGAGTCAGGGTTTCCCACCAAGATGCCCCCTCAACCCAGGACTACCTCCAGGCCCTCTGTCCCTGACAAGCCCAAAAACCCCACCTATGGGCCCAACATCTGCGACGGGAACTTTGACACCGTGGCCGTGCTCCGAGGGGAGATGTTTGTCTTCAAGGTGAGAGGAAGAAGTGAGCTGGTTTGGGAGGCAAGGGGGCTCTATGCCCAGCAGGCTGGGTGGAAACAGCAGCAGGAAGACTAAGAACTAGAGCTGAGGCAGTGGGAAGCTTTGGGGACTGAGCCAGAGGACTAGCTGCAAGACATAACACCCTGTCCCCACCTTGATGCCTTCCAGGAGCGCTGGTTCTGGAGGGTGAGGAATAACCAGGTGATGGATGGATACCCCATGCCCATCGGCCAGTTCTGGCGGGGCCTGCCCGCATCCATTAACACTGCCTACGAGAGGAAGGATGGCAAGTTTGTCTTCTTCAAAGGTAACCAGGCATTCTACCTTAGTGCTCTGGGTGTGGGGAGAGTCTCCCTGAAAGAGTGGATTCCACTCGACTTCTCCAGAGCCGCAAGAGCCCAAGTGGAACCCTGATCGTGCCCTTCTCTCTCCTCCCCAGGAGACAAGCACTGGGTGTTTGACGAAGCTTCCCTGGAACCTGGCTACCCCAAGCACATCAAGGAGCTGGGCCGAGGACTGCCTACTGACAAAATTGATGCTGCTCTCTTCTGGATGCCCAATGGAAAGACCTACTTCTTCCGGGGAAACAAGTGAGACCCCATCCTCTTGACCCGAGGCCTCTCTCCTCAGATACCACCACCAGATTCTCTCAGTCCTACAGGAGGACCCACTTTACCCCCGGGATGTTTCCCTGGAGAAGTTGCTGGCTGAGCCTCTGCTATTGCCTAGCAACAGACAGCCTCCATTAGGTGCTGAGTGAGTGGGAAGTGACCGGGTCACCATTTCAGACCTGGTCATTTGGCGCCTCCTGCCCCCAGCGCCGTGCCTCCACCCCAGCTGCCAGGCACTATCATTAAAGGCTACTGGTGGCTCCTTGCAGCCTGGGACCTCCCATCCACCCCCACCTTCCGCCACTTTCGGCCACAGGCCCTCATTACTCAAAACCCCTGTCCTGCACCCTGTCCACAGCCACCCTTTGCTCGCTGGTGAATTCAGTCCTGGGCCCTGCTACCCTCCAAGGACATGCCCAGAGCCCGACCACTTCCCCTCCTCTCCTCTCCTCCAGGTACTACCGTTTCAACGAAGAGCTCAGGGCAGTGGACAGCGAGTACCCCAAAAACATCAAGGTCTGGGAAGGAATCCCTGAGTCTCCCAGAGGGTCATTCATGGGCAGCGATGAAGGTAAGCGGCAAGCGGGGGAGGGTCTCTGTGCGGGGGGGGGGGGGGATATGAGGACAGGGGGTTAAGGAAGAACAGGAGGAAAGATGGACAGTATCACGTAGAAAGCAGTGATGATGAGAACAGCAGAACCCTTGCTGTGTGCCAGGCTCTGAGCAAAGTGCTTTGTGCACATCGGATACCTAATCACCACCATGCTGCCAGCCACTAGAATTACCCCCTTTTACAGCTGAGGAACCCGATGTTCGGAAAGGGTTGGGGATTAGCTCAACCGGGTCACTCCACTCACAGATTTTCCTTCTGTTCTTCTCTCTGTGGGTCTTCTGGATGCTGCCCCCATCCCTTGTTCTCCTTGCCACCTTCTTGCTGACCCCTGCAGTCTTCACTTACTTCTACAAGGGGAACAAATACTGGAAATTCAACAACCAGAAGCTGAAGGTAGAGCCAGGCTACCCCAAGTCAGCCCTGCGGGACTGGATGGGCTGCCCCTCATCGGGGGGCCGGCCAGATGAGGGAACTGAGGAGGAGACAGAGGTGATCATCATCGAGGTGGACGAAGAGGGTGGCGGGGCAGTGAGCGCGGCCGCCGTGGTGCTGCCTGTGCTGCTGCTGCTCCTGGTGCTGGCCGTGGGCCTCGCCGTCTTCTTCTTCAGACGCCATGGGACCCCTAAACGACTGCTCTATTGCCAGCGTTCCCTGCTGGACAAGGTCTGACCCCCACTGCCGCCCGCCCACTCCTACCACGAGGACTTTGCCCCTGAAGGCCAGTGGCAGCAGGTGGTGGTGGGTGGGCTGCTCCCACCTGTCCCGAGCCCCCTCCCTATCCTGCTCCCCACTTCCCTTCTTTTCTGTCCCACGGCTGCCTCTCTCAACCTCAACCCTGGCATTGCTTCTTCCCTAGATGGGTCCCCTGGGGGCTGATCAGGGGCCGCCCCTTCCAGCCCCTGCCCCCCCCTCCCCCGGGGGGGGCCTCTGTTGCTTGGTGTGTGTCCAGCCCCATCTGAATGTCTTGGCTCTGCACTTGAAGGCAGAACCCTCGGACCTCGCTGGCAAAGGTCAAATGGGGTCATCTGCTCCTTTTCCATCCCCTGATGTACCTTCAACCTCTGAACTCTGACCTCATGAGGCTCTGGGCATTCCAGCCCCACGAGCCCCCAGGCGCACCCCGTTGGCAGCTTCCTACCACTCTTTCTGGCTAAAAGGAATATAATTTTGCTGTGGGGGGAGACCCTGAGAGAGTAGGAGTGGGTGGGGGCTGCACAGCTACCCTAAGACCTTGGGAGGAAAGCTCAGAGTCAGTCCTCTCTGCAAAGATCTGCCTCTGCTGCACCTGGCCCCAAGAACTTCCCCAGAAGGAGCCTGAGCCATTAAGGGGCTGTAGAAACCCTTGACGGCCCTACCTCCACAAATGTTAGCTTCAGCCGGGGATGTCAAGGTTAGAGGAGCTGAGACCAGGGGGTGCAGCTACCGGGGTGGTGTGGGGCCAAGGACAGAGACTGTCTGGAGCCCTGGGGGTCAACCTGAAGGCCACAGAGAAAGAATCTTGCTCAAATGCAGGCAGCTGGGGTAGGGACCAAGGAACAGAGCAGTCAGAGGGGACAAGACAGGACCAAAAGGCTAACAGGGAGGTGCAGTGGGAGTGGATGGCCAGGGGCCGGGCAGGCCAGGCCAGCAGGGACACGGCAAGGTGGACTGTGGTACCCAGGGAAGGGCATGTTTTGTTGGAGCTCTCAGGAAGGGCCCGAGAGAGGCACATCTACTCACACACCTCCTCCACTTTGGTGCCCTTCCTCCAACCAGAGTACACGTATGGGAAGGGTGGGGAGCCCAGAGAAAGCAGCAGAGACAACACATATCCAGGGACTGGCGACTTGGGACCTTAATGAGGGCGGCCACGGCCACCTAGTTAGGGAGGTGACTGACCAGGGGCTGGCAACGCTCAGCCAGCAGCCTCAGCTGGCCTCAGTGAGATGGCAGGGTGCCTGGGTGAGTCTCAGTCAGGTTAGCCCCTCACTTCCTGATGCCCCTGCCCCTCAGCCCATCCTGCCGGTGTCCTGCCTCCTCTCCCCCACCCAGTCCACCCATTTGAAGTCTCCTTTGGCCACCACAGGTGGTCATGGTACCGGGGACTTGGGAGAGTGAGACCCTGTGGGGGCAGTGAGAGGAGAGGGACGTCAGGGGTGGGAGGTTATGGGGGGGGGGGAGCGTGGGATGAACGGTGCTGGCAGTTCGGCTAAATTTGTCTTGTTTGGGTTTTTTGTTTTGTTTAATGTATATTTTTATTATAATTATTATATATGAATTCCCTTCAAATCGTTCCTTTTTGTTAACAAGGGGCATGGGAAGGGTGGGGGTGGGGGGGCAGAGGCATCCGACCCCAGGAACCTGCAGGGCGGGGCTGGGTCAGTGCCCTCTAAGGACATTTTTGACCTTGTTCAACCTTTCCACAAAGAATAAATGGTGTTTCACATTCTTTGTGTGGCTGCATTCTCTCAGAAAGAGAAATGAATGGAAAAGGCACTCGTAACCGGTGTTTTCTGTGATGTGGGGTTTTAATATTTTTCATAAAGGACTATGTTTATTCTTGGTGGACAACATGGACTCAGGGCCGTAGCTGGGAAGTAGGACATACTCCACCGGGGCAGAGAAGTGGTCCACAGAGCCCAGCTGCTCTCTCCCAACCTAGCCAAGAGGTTACTTTAGAGGCCCAGAGCTGCAAAGGGCAAGAGGAAGTGGTCAAGCTGAGGCCACTTGGAAAATCTTCCTAAATTGCATTACCCTGTCACGTGATCTGGCCGCAGACCCTCCATTTCCCCAGACCTGTCTTTTTGCTGCTGGGGACTCCCAGGATCGTTGACACTCGGCCCTTTACCCCAGCCCTCAGCATCTAAGCCTCTTCTAGGCCTGGGGCTCTGCCTCAGGAGCAGAAGGAACAGAGAGGCAACCCATGGCCTACTAGGAGCAGCCTATCTCTGGCAAAACAGGAGTTTCACCCCACTTGCCCAGGAGAGGCAGGATGGTCAGGTTGGAAGGGAAGAATAACAAGGCTTTGTTTCTTCGAAACTGCTGCCCCAGACTGGGTTCCCAGGCTGTCCACCCACCCTTCCCTTCCTCCGAAACCAGCCTGGAGGGAGGAATAGCTCAGTTGCTGAGTCAGCTCAGCTGAAGGGGAGCAGCCCTCTTTCTTCCTCCCCTTCCCTTCCTGCCTTAGCCCGGCCCTCCCCGGGCTCCAGCCCAGGCCCCCTCCACAGCCTTCCTCCAAGAGCACTGGCCCCACCTAGACCAGCAGTTCCATCCAGCTGCTCTTCAGGGCTGGTTGGTGTGATTGCTTTGGCAGAAGGGGTACCCCACCTCTCTGCCAGCCAGGAACCCTGACCCTATGACTGGCCTCCTACACCTCTCCTGCCAACAGCTGTTTGGCACGGCCTGTGTGTCTCAGCAGATTTGGACACCACCACCCTGCCACCCTCACAGGAGGGGATGGGGACCCTGAGAAGCTGGCACGAGAAAGGGGTTCTCTGGGGGGTGGGGGGCCTGTGCATGTCGCCAGGAGCCCAAAGATGAGCTCATGGCCCCTTTGTGTTTTTGTGGCCCGCATCTGGAGGCAATTACAGATGTTATCCAGTGGGAGTTCTGCAAAACACAGCTGGAGCCAGTAGAGGAGCCTGGGGAGGGGGGACTGCCAGAGGGAAGAGGAGGGGGAGCCTAGGGCTGCCACGGCTGGAGTGCGGTTTCCCCATCACGAGGAAATTGTTTGGCCCCGATTCTGGAATCACAAGATGCTCTCTGAAGCCAAGGGGGAGAGATGGGAACAGAGGACCAGAGACAAAGGGGGAAGAGGTGGAAGAGGCTTCATAAGCAGAGAGAATTGTGGGGTGGAGGCCGGCAAGGTCCCGTGCTTCTGACGTGCCCCGGGCCTGAGGGATCCAGCCCATGAGGCCACCCAGAGACCCCGGGAGGGGCCTTGCTGATCACACAGGGTCAGGCAGGGTGAAGGGAGAGCAGAGGGCCCTGTGGCTCCTGAGAGACCTGACAACACTGCTTTGCCTGGCCCTACCCCACTTTGTCCGTTGGGCCTGACCCAGTTTCTAAGGTTCCAAGTTCCTTTATTCGAAAGCAGCACATGTGAGCTAGAGCAGCCAGGCGAGAGCCAAGGGGAATCTGTGAGGAGGTTTGGGCAGAACCCAGGGAAGCGGCCTCAGAGGAGACTGGACCGGGGGCAAGCGCTGAGGAGAGACAGCGCTCTGCCCACCACTGCACCCCACACGTTTGAGGGGCGAGCCACAGACTCCCTTCTCCAGGGCTCCCCACCACCAGCTGGGCCCACACCTCCAAGGCTGCCAGCCAGGCGCTGGGTCACTGACGTGACAAGGGGAAGACCGGAGAGGAGCTGGGCCTTCGAGGGGAGAGAGGACTGAGCAGAGTGATGCCCCACACACAACCCTGAGTCAGCTCTGCTGGACCTTCACTGTCCCTCCCCTGGGGCCCCTTCTCCCCCTTCCGACAGACTTCCCCGTCCTCTTTCCCCTCTGGACTCCTACTTCCCTTTCCAGCTAAAAGGAGGTGGTAAAACACCAATATTGCTGAGGACCTCGTAACACCCAATGACACAGGCACTAATGTTGCCCCCATTGTATAGGTTTGGAAACTGAGGCCCGGAGAAGACTTCCTCGAGGTCACAGCTCATTAGTCCAAAGTTAAAACCGAGGTCTTTCTGATTCTTTTTTTTTTTTTTTTTTTGTCTGTACAGGTAGATTCTGACCATTCTCTGGGTGTCCGTTCCAGGGTGGACCCCATGTGGCTGGGTGTCTGTGTGGCAGTGTGCGTTCTGGAGATCTGACAGCATGTGTGTGCGTGCCTATTCTTCTGGATGGCAGCATTGGCATGGGGAATAGGGCTCTTCCTCAGGAATCCACTTTGCCTGTAACCACCTCCCTCTTGGGGGACAGGAACAGGTACTCTGAGGGAAGGAAGGAAGAAGCAGGAAGGACTCAGAAGCCAGAGGGACTGAGCGGGATGCATGGCAGCAGCGAGGGGAGGGATGGTGGCGGTGAGCGGCCGTGGCAAGGGCTCCGGGAGGACAGTTCCCATTCCCCGAGTCCCTGGGAAACCCCAGTCAAGGCTGCTCCATCGTCCTGCAGTCCTTGTACCCCTTTCTTACCCACCCCCCAAATCTGAATTCACCTCCTTTAGGAGACCAATTCCTGTACACCTAAACTGGGGGTTTCTGCTTCACTCCTTCAGACAGTTTTGGGAGACCGGAGAGACCCAGAGGCAGCCTTCAAGGGGGCTGGGCAATGGGGGCCTGGAAAGGAGGCAGGCCTGACTGGCCAGAAGCCACCTTCCAAATGAGCTCACACACATACTTTCCACCCTGGCCCACGGCCGAAGGC